ATGACTCTACTGATTCCAGAAGAATAAATTTGTTGTTGACGCCTGTAATAGTTTTAAGCTTAATTTGATATTTATTTGAAACATCTTGCATTTCGTTAGTGATTTATTTGAAATTCTAAGGCTTAATTTTAAATTTATTTATAAATATTCATGAATTCCATTCACGCTCTATAGAATCAGTGTAGAAGAGACTTGTCAACAGCTTAACTTCTTTCTTTCAAATTACTATGCCATGTGAAAGGTCGAAATTATTAAATGTAGACCATTCTGGATCCATCTCGTCTAACGCTCCTAATGTACCGTAATATCGATGAAGGGTCTGTGTGCACTGATAGGTGCTTGTAATAGAAATTCACTGTCAAATATTTTTTTAAAATTTATTTATTTGTCCAGCAATATATTATAGCGACAAATCGCACTGAAAGCAGGTGGTATGAATACGCTTACAGTAATGGAAAAGTGGGTTAAAGAATATTGAATACAAAAAACGTTTAGGCCCATAAAAGCTACTTGAAAGGAACTACTCGCTTGTAAACTCTTCCCACTATTGAGCTAAATCAATGAAACTAAAATATTTAAATAGTATGTAGCCATTAAAATGATATCGTATCTATTCCGTTTTATAAGACATTTAGTACTATCAAAACTCAAATATTTCCGAAGTACGAATCATAATATTAAATCGGTGTCCAGTTTGCACAAGTTCAGCAAACGATTTGTTCAGTCGTGTGTGATTGCCCTCTGCCCCTAACATTTTACCGATATATATGTATAATTCAACGTGTAGTTGGCACCTTCTCCGTAATCGATCTTGTAAATGCACACAAATAACAATTCATTGGATAACAGGTTCTACTAACTCATTGAAGTTGACGCAAAGTTTGACCTTGAATTTCAAGTTAAACTGAATTTTTACTTGCACTCTTTGGTCAAAACATTTATTTTACAATTAATTTTAACGGTTATCATGTATGACTTCAGCAAAATCTAATCAGCAAAACTGTTCTGTAAATTAGGAAGAATAAAACTCAACTTCAACATACATTTCGATACCATAATATCACCAGACACAATAGGTCACAATTATGCATCAATTCTGGTATGAAAGGTATCTGTTCTTTATTTTACATATCCTATTTACTTAGTTACCATAGATACACACATATTTACTTTATTTATATCAATTGCGTGACTCCTGGCAAGGGTTTGTTTCTTATTGGAAACGAACCATATTCTTACATCATAGAGCTTTAAGACACCTTTACATTATCAATTACGATGATGTTTAAATTTTGTAAATTAACAAGAAGATAACCATGATATTGAGAGAGTTTGAAATATTAAATATGTACGTGTATTTGGGAAACGTTATGGAGAAAAAATATTTTTAAAACTCCAGAAAATGAAAAACACATAAAGTCGAGATAACCCCTGTATAGATGACAATGTCACAAATACGAATTTTGATGAGAGACGGTTACCTTTGTTTGTTCAATTACTCATGTAAAAAAAAGGGAGAGGGTTGGGCACTAAGGGTATGTAGGTTGATCCATATAATTTATAACAAGAATTTTTTAAAAATTTTATTCAGTTTGTCTGTTTCATTCCACATTAGATATTTTAATTGCATATTAACATCCATTGAAATTATCTGAAGAAATAAGCATGTCCTTATTCTCAAACCCTGCAATAGAATTTTAAAGAATCGAAGTTAATTATATTTCATCACATTGAGTCTTTAGTAGTATCTATTCACATATTTATTAAAATAAATAGGGAAAAATGCAAATCCGAAGACAATTAAATTTGACGCATTTATCGTCTTTATCATCTTAATTTCCTGATGAGCGTTTTCCATGCGATAGTCGTTCCTTCCCTGTGGCATGCGTTCAGTATTTGATGTTTTATCAAAAAGAATTTATAATTACATAAGTGTTTGCTTTGTCAGTATTTTCTTCGAATAGATCTGACATTTGCTGCTTCTGTTTGATCAACGATCAGGTATGTTATCACGTGACTGGGTACAATTGACTTTTATCGTTTGATTTAAACTGAAGCACTTGAGTTAAAAGTTTGTGTTCGTCAGAGTAAATACATTCTGATTTCACAATTTCAAAGTTTTACATGAAAGTCCTTTTTTGCAATATGAAAATGTCCAATTAAGACAACACGTACATTTTTAGCTTCTATCAAGGTCAGATTTCCCGCTTAAAATAACTGGTTTCTTGTTTTTATAAATGTCAGAAAGTTTTCATTATTTGTTTTTTTTTTTGTTTTTTTTTTTTTTGTTTTTTTTTTTTTTTTTTTTTTTTGGTTTATCATATTTACATCGGTAATGGTTGCTTGAATAAAAATAGAAATATTTTTATCCAAACGTTTTAAAATCGTGGATAGGGTGTCAAATTATTCTTTTTGATGACTGGTCATATTTAAACCTTTCCCTCTGGAAATCATATACAATAGATCCTGTGCAGTGTGGTCGTGAAATGGACAGAATTGAACGGCTTGGTTTCTTGTATTATGGGGGGAGGGGCGTTGTTGTTGTTGTGGGATTAACACCATTTTCCAGGACAGGAAAGTCCATTCATGGCAGCTAGGATATTTGATGGAAGAAAGAAGACAGTGATTGGCAAACTTTCTCACATTGCCGCTCCGGTGGCCTAAAAGGTTAGATCATCCGCTCCTATGCGGGAGGTCGCGGATTCAAACTCCGGCCGAGTCAAACCAAAGAATTATAAAAATTGTACTAAAAACTTCCTCACTTGGCGCTCAGAATTAAGAACGTTGTGTTAGGACTAGTTATTCTTGTATAAGGATATAGTGACTGAGTGGAACATGACGTTACATGTCTTCAGCATGAAACCTCAGTGCCAGACATCACTATAAACTGCTACACGGTAGACATCATAGTAATATGACTGAACAATTATTACAGCAACGTTACAAATCTCTCTCTCTCTCTCTCTCTCTCTCTCTCTCTCTCTCTCTCTCTCTCTCTCTCTCTCTCTCTCTCTCTCTCTCTCTCTCTCTCTCTCTCTCACACACACACACACACACACACTCCAATTGCTCTAGCCGAGTCTCGAACCCACGTGAATAAAGGTTATATACGAGTGAACTGTAAAGACGAGTGTCTATGCCATCCAGGGCCCTGGCCTGGACTGAAATGAAGGCTGATCTGAACAATGAAGAGAATATGCTTAGATGGGCTAAATTTTAGGGCCGATTGGGCATGAATCCAATGCACTCTATAACCGATTAAACGGACTGTACAGCCTATACTTAAGGGTTGATATATTACTTACACATTAAAACAACTCGTCACAAAAAGTGTTAGGATTAATGCTCATGAGATAATCGTGAGCTGCGATGGCTCATTTGGAAGAGTCAAATGTTTGAGCCAAATGTGGCCGAATCGACACCAGCCCGGGCCAGCCTTGAGAAAGGAATATAGCCCCTATTTTATCGGCATGGAACACTCAGTACTTTAATTAAAACGCCGTTAAAAATCAACAAATTAATCAAAGCAATATAATCTTTATTTCAATGAATAAAAAGTTTTTTTTATAACCCATCAATTTAGGAGAGGTATGCAGATGATTTCAATATGAATTATGTTTTAACTGGTCAAATAATTTTAACTACATCAAACACATAAATTTCAAACTAATATTTGATGCATATTTAACCACATTTGCCTAATATCTTTGTACATATGGATCAGCCCTTAATCAGACACAGAGCTCATAAAATTGCCAACTTGAGTCTGAGATTTAGTTTCGAATAACAGCCAATCAGAAATGAGTTTCCAAAATTACTGGCAATTGTTATTGGCCAGGACACAATCTCTAGACGATACTCAAACTAAAGAGTTGTATGATTGTAGGCCTTGTCTTTCTGTTATCTTTAATCGATAATATTTAAACAGGTGAATAGATTCTCTAGCGTTTAACCTTCCAACTCTCCCATTTAACGGCACTATACTGTTGTCGTTTTGGAATGCATTATTTTAAAATGACAAGTAAGGGTTTTTTTGTTTCTTCATGTCGTTATTTCCCTTTGCAAATATATTCAACCGTTAAAATCCTGCCACAGCCTGGTTGTGCAGATAAATATAAACAAGGAAAACACACAGACACTGAAACAATTTTCTGTACCTGACGCGCATAGTTTGCAAAACTCTTAATAAGATTGAACAATATTGTTATATCATCTTTTCAAATAACGTATCATATGATAAACTAACAGAGTAGAAACACTGCTCATATTTTCAGATTATGCACAGTGGGTGTACAGTTTGTCAATAATTTCAAAACAAGGGCCATAACTATTTTAGTATACCGAGGAAAAGTTAAATTGCATGTGACAATATAAATGAAAGAGTCAACATATAGTCATCAAACAACTTTATTTAAATGTTAATTGTTTTTTTGGCTACATCTAGCCGAGGAAAGAGGAACCAAGTACCTTTTCATAGAATAGGCATACAATTTATATTTGGATTTGTCGTGCTTACACCGAGATGAATGCATTATTAAGGAAGTAATTTTTTTGTAATATAAACTCTTGTTATAAGGGAAAACAATGTGTTGTGGCTGTAGGCTTCAGTTTTAAATATATTATCTAAAACGGAATAAATAATAAGTTTTGGATATTACATTATTCCGTGTTTTTACTATTGAAACTATCGGTGATTTGATTCCGTTTGAAATCCTAGCAAGGGCTTATATACATTTCAATGAGGTAAATTATTCATTGGAATGTGTGTGTTGTGTGTGTGTTTTAGATTTTTAACGTAGCTTTCGGTCATATCGCTACGATGTCTGCAATGTTAAAGTTTATAGTGATGTCTAGCACTGGGTATCTTACCTCAAAAATATGGCATGATGTCCTTCCCAGTCATATTATCCTGACACCAGGCCGACCATTCCTAACACTAACCTCTTAATGCTGAGCGCCAGGCGAGGCAACTGTTAGTACCTTGTTATAAGTCTTTGGCATGACTCGACTGGGGTTCGAACCCGCAACCTCCTGCATCTGAGGCGGACGCTCTAACCACAAGACCACCGGAGCGGTGTGGAATGTGTTGTTTTATTATCGACAGAAAGGTCTCTCCTCCAATTGATATTATTATCATTACAACCTCTGGAAATACCTAGGAGGGAGGATGGAATGACGATTTCATGGTACATATATCTAGGGACTTCACTTTAATCGTCATGATCTGCCAAAATATTTTAAATGTATATCGTCATTTTGACCTTTCAATCTATTATATTTTTTGTGAAGAAAAGGAACACCAGCTTATACTTGGACGCAATTCAATTAATCATTTTATTTGACATAAAAAGGTCAGAGTTCAGACAAATTCACCAGATCTTTGGGGTTTGAAGATGGAGTTGACCAAATACTATCCGCCCTTTCTGTATATACTAGAGATGGACGTGTATTTGGTCAGGCCACATGGACGTGACCGCGATGTGAACTTTCGAGAAACATCCTGATCTGGCTGGGCGGTCTTCTGCCGGCATAAGAATTATATATTGTTATGATGCATGTTCATTTTATATTATTTCCACTTATCACATTTGTTTGAGATGTTTCTATGGAAGCGTTGCTTGTTTGGCGTTGCTTTAAATAATGTAATTATGATAATTTCTGTCTTCAAATCAACAACTATTCTGCCGTTAAAGTGGCCATCGAGTGAAATAAAATGCTTTTCAGCTGCAGAACAATCCAGGTGTCCAGTATTTCCTTTATAGAATTTATGTTTGCTTGGACATTTGATTTACGCTTGAGCAGTCATCAATGATATTATTTTGGCCATTTCGCTAATACTTCAAAAGCTCACATTTGTTACAAGATCGAATACAAATTTTTGGATTCGACAGTAGGTGGTCATGCGGTATTTTCTTGCCTAGGTTGTTTGCTCAACTTTCGACCTCTGACATATCTTTATTATTCAGATGAAAATGTCACTGCCCGCCAATGAGCAACACACTCCTAAGGATTGTATCGCAATTATGGCCTAAGACGTGTAAATAGCAGTTCCATAATAGGATGCAAATAATAAATATTCATTCAGTGCTTTAATTTCCGTTGTAAAATAATACGCATAACACTTTTTCTAAACGCAAATAATAAGATTGAACAATATTGAACAAACAGAGCATCCCAGATGAGGCATCACTGACGAGCAAGCGGGATACGTTCTATGGATGGAAGTGTAGGGAAATTATGATGCATATGCATCATAATTTCCCTACACGTCCATCCATAGAAAACGTATCCCGCTCGCTCGTCAGTGAAGCCTCATCTGGGATGCTCTCTCTCTCTCTCTCTCTCTCTCTCTCTCTCTCTCTCTCTCTCTCTCTCTCTCTCTCTCTCTCTCTCTCTCTCTCTCTCTCTCACGAAAGTTGTTGTAAGATCACGCTGTTGTGGACACTAAATTAAATGATGACTATTCCGAATCACTTCTTGTCGTAACACTCAGGGTTCGAATCTAGGTACCATTATTTCATATGTAACAAAATGTTACCTACATACTGAACATTTGGGAGTAATTATTCTTGCAAAACAAATAGCGTGACATCGTCCATGTTGCGCTCGTGTACAGATGAGCACAGATTCGAAGAGTTTTAACAGCAGTGATAAAGAATATTAAGAAATGTTCAATCAGCACCAGATAGCTATCTACATTGCTGAAATTTTGAGAAAGGAAACTTAAAATAAATAATTTTGTCGGTTAAAGCATCACGATCATATTTTACTTTCGATGAATAAAAGTAATTTTCGCCATAGTCACCTCTGTTGTCTTGTGTTTCTGCCCACTATATGGTAAATAAGTCACGTGTTACCATCTTCGCCAGTCATGGCTCCTATGTTAACCTATCTATGTAGATAGTTTAACATTTAGGAAACTTGTCATAACGTTGGCATATACTCACAAATGTTAATATAGGCTCTGTCATATTTATAAACAAATAATTATGAATCTCTCTCTCTCTCTCTCTCTCTCTCTCTCTCTCTCTCTCTCTCTCTCTCTCTCTCTCTCTCTCTCTCTCTCTCTCTCTCTCTCTCTCTCTCTCTGATCTCATAAATAAAATGTGTTTAATGAAAGATGATACTGAACACTGTACCATCTGCTCTAAATATTTGTATATTTGTAAACACACACACACACACACACACACGCGCGCACGACAAATTATGCTGGTCTACCTGTACATAAGTTTGTGGATTATATTACTAATGTCCTTCATTTCAAAGGACTTCTTATGCAACATATACATCTTTAGAAAGTAATTTATACATACTTTTTTTAAATTCTTGTTGTCTTTAAGAAATTTACATTTAAATGAGATTCGTAATTTTTTAATTCGTTCAATATTTTGGCCTATTTCAAGACAATTTTATACAACAACTTCTTTTTGAGACAATATTATTTATTTACTGTAGATATACATGTATTCATGTGATAATTATTATATTTATTAATTTGTCAGAAGTCAAAATATATATGACCACGTTTGTTAGTGTACTTGACTCGAACATTATATTCACAGCGTCTTTCAACTAAGTAAACCACAATTAAACACAATCTATTTATGAATGTAATTGATGCTCTGGAGACTCAATGCACAGCAGTTAAATAATATGGCAAATAACTTTAACTTGTACACTTATATATTGGCCCAAGCATATATATATATATATATATATATATATATATATATATATATATATATATATATATATATATATATATATATATATATATATATATATATATATATATATATATATATATATATATATATATATATATATATATATATATATATATATATATAAATGTATATATATATATATATATATATATATATATATATATATATATATATATATATATATATATATATATATATATATATATATATATATATATATATATACGAAACTTACAGATATATGCCATGCCTAGGTAATTAAACTTTTTTGAGATAAAAGCACCTGGATCAGACAATTCTCGGTAGTATTGACATCTAATACCGATGGAACTCTTCCACTGCATATTCAATGAACTGATCTGAGCAAAAATTATTGTCTTTTTTCCATTAGCAACAGGGGCCCCGAGTGGCCGAGTGGTCTAAAGCGCTGTCCGTTACGGATCACTGCCATCTCACCTCTGTCTGCGTGGGTTCGAGTCTAGGAATCGGCGAATGTGGATATGTGAGAAAGCCTGCCAGTAGCTTCTCGTGGGTCGGTGGTTCTTTCCGGTGATTTCCCGGTTTCTTCCTCCACCATTAATACTGGCCGCCATGAATAGCCTATCTTGTGCTGAAAAATGGCGTTAAACACAACAACAACCATTAGCAACAACATTATCAAAAACAAAAACTACAACAACAAACGATTTCATAATATAAAATGACACTGTCTTCTCATACATTTTAAACTTTCAAAATGTCATGTTAATGGTGCGAAATACGTTCCTTCTTTTGTCTAGTATATTGTTTAAGGGTTTTCTTATACGACTGGGTTACTAGAGCACAGATAACAACGCTAACTCATTAGCATAACGCAATATGTAAAATCGTATTATTTATGCTCTTACTTACCCTATGGGAATTGATGTTCATCTTTTAGTGTATACTGAAAAGTTAATGTAAAATGACTGAATATTTGTGAAGTTTTGACGACTTAAGTGGTTGTTAAACCTGCTTGAAAGGAACTAGTCGCTTGTAAACTCTTCGTACTGTTAAGCTAAATCAATGAGACTAAAATATTTAAATATTATGTAGCCGGCAAAATAATACCGTATGTATCCCTTCTTATAAGACATTTAACACTATCAAAACACAACTATTTCTTAAGTACGCATCATAATATTTCATCGGTGTCCAGTTTTTACACAAGTTCAGCAGTCGTTTTGGTCAGTCGTGTTTGATTGCCCTCTTCCGGTAACATGATATATATATATATATATATATATATATATATATATATATATATATATATATATATATATATATATATATATATATATATATATATATATATATATAACATGCGTTACTCCAGGCAAGGGTTTGTTTCTTATTGAAAACGAGCCATATTCTTACATCATACAGCTTTAAGACACCTTTACATTATCAATTACGATGATGTTTAATTTTTGTATATTAACAAGATAACCCATGATGCTTAGAGAATTCGATATATTAGATATGTACGTGTATTTTGACAAACTATATGGAGAAAAAAAATATTTTAAAAACTCCAGAAAATGAAAACTCATGAAGTAGAAATAACTTCTGTATAGATGACTACGTTACAAATACGATTTTTGATGAGAGATGGTTACGTTTGCTGGTTGAATCGCTTGTATAGAAAAAAAAGGGATGGGGTTGGGCACTAAGTGTATGGAGGTTGATCCATATAATTTATAACGAGAAATTTTTACAACTTATATTCAGTTTGTTTATTTGATCCCATATTAAATACTTTTATTGCATATTAACATCTGAATCAATCGAAATTATCTGAACAAATAAGCATGTTCTTATTCTCAAACCCTGCATTAAAATTTTTTTTAAAAAATCGCAGTTAATTATATTTCATCACATTGAGTCTTTAGTAGTATTTATTCACACATTTGTTTATTATAATAATAATAATAATAATAATAATAATAATAATAATAATAATAATAATAATAATAATAATAATAATAATAATAATAATAACAACGAGGACTTTATGTAGCACCTAATCTTTAAAAGCTCTAAGCGCTTTACAACATATGACAACACTTAAAAAGAATAAATAATATATATAATGGGATGATTACAAAAATAAAAAACACCACAAAATTAGGAACAGAAAAACATACTGTAAATTTTTAAGGTAAGGATGCGTTATAAGGATACATTATTAGGTCTTTATAACTGTTCTTGCAGTTGAAATAGAAGAGTTTTCAGAGCGCTCTTGAATAAGATCACTGTGTCTTTGTGTCTAAGTGCAGTGGGCAATTCGTTCCACGTTGCTTGGCCCTGATATGCAAAAGAACA